CGCTAAATTGCACGTTGCACGGCGCTGTCGCAAGCGCGTACGGCATATCATAGCGCGTACGGCATAGCGTAGCATAACATAGCGCGTACGGCATATCACAGCATAGCATAGATCGTATATGCTTGCAGATCGCATAGGCTTGCAGATCGCATATGCTTGCACATCGAATGTGGCATATGCTTTCAGATCGCATCTGGCATATGCTCGCAGATTGCATATGCTTGCAGATCGCATAGGCTTGCATATCGCATATGCTTGCACATCGAATGTGGCATATGCTTGCAGATTGCATATGCTTGCAGATCGCATATGCTTGCAGATCGCATATGCTTGCAGATCGCATATGCTTGCAGATCGCATATGCTTGCAGATCGCATATGCTTGCATATCGTATATGCTTGCATATCGTATATGCTTGCAGATCACATATGATTGCACATCGCATGTGGCATATGCTTGCATATGAAGCATTTGTGCATATGAAACACATGTGCATATGTGCATATGAAGCATATGTGCATATGTGCATATGTGCATATGTGCATATGAAGCAGATGTGCATATGTGCATATGAAGCATATGAAGCATATGAAGCATATGAAGCATATGAAGCATATGAAGCATATGAAGCATATGAAGCATATGAAGCATATGAAGCATACGAAGAACAAAAATGCATATCGCATATGCTTGCACATCGAATGTGGCATATGCTTGCAGATCGCATCTGGCATATGCTCGCAGATTGCATATGCTTGCAGATCGCATAGGCTTGCATATCGCATATGCTTGCACATCGAATGTGGCATATGCTTGCAGATCGCATCTGGCATATGCTTGCAGATCGCATATGCTTGCAGATCGCATATGCTTGCAGATCGCATATGCTTGCATATCGTATATGCTTGCAGATCGTATATGCTTGCAGATCACATATGATTGCACATCGCATGTGGCATATGCTTGCATATGAAGCATTTGTGCATATGAAACACATGTGCATATGTGCATATGAAGCATATGTGCATATGTGCATATGTGCATATGAAGCAGATGTGCATATGTGCATATGAAGCAGATGAAGCATATGAAGCATATGAAGCATATGAAGCATACGAAGAACAAAAAAGAAAAAAAAAGCGCGCAAAAAAAAAGACGCGCGCGCTGGGGATTGAACCGGCGACGTGGTGGACCGACAGATGGACGGACGAACGGACGGACTAGACGCGGGCTGCGTCGCCCGCGAGGGGGCCGTAGTCCCCCGGCTGGGCGGCAGGAGTATGACGGAGCGTGCGTATACTTGTAGTACACCCGTGTGGGAGTCGAACCCACAAGTGCAAGGGATGCACCCAGCCGTGCGGGCGTGTCGTCGGACGGCTAGAGAGCCGTGCAACGCTGGCATTTAACGCCATCCAGTGGCGAGGCAGACGAACTGTTTTACGTGTCAGGTGGTGTTGGCTGCGGAGGTCCAACGCTCCTCTAGGTTTCTGGCGTGTTTGTACTCGGTCGTATAGCGTTCACGTGTTTCGGTTGCACGGCGATCCAGGAGGCGGAGTTCGGCCGCCAGGTCGGGGTCCAGCTTGGTTGCTGCCATGAACTGTTTGACGACTCGTGTTCGTTCATCGGGTGTGGTAGAGAGCGGGCGCAGGAGGCGGATGTGGTCGAGTGTCTTGTAGCAGGTGAGCAACACGTACATGGTTGCACGCTTGAGGCCACCGGGCGGGACGGAAAGGTCTGCGACCCAGCATTCTTCCTTGAAGCTACGGCCCTGTACGAAGTAGTCGGTGACGGCGTAGTAGTCACCAAGCGGTACATTGACTCGACGTACATTTTTGGTGGTGGTGCCGGTGTTGGCGGCTGGCACGGTGATGTTTGCTGCCGGCGAGGGCCGTGGTACGATGGCGAAGGCAGCACCTTTGGCTGCGAAGTCCGATAAGTCTGCTAGCACCGCTTTGGGCGCGTGCCCTTTAATGGGACGGACCAAGACGGCTGCAGGTAGGTAGTGGAGGCGCCAGTACGGGCCGCGGCCGTCGTCGGGCGGTTCACGGCTGTCGGTAAGCAGGCCACACGCCTCGACTTCATTGTTGTGGCACGCGCCGGCGTCGGCAGCTGTGGTGTCGAGTAGGGTGTAGCGTGCACCCTCGTAGTACCAAGTGTCGGCGGTGGTGTGGTCGAAAGGTGGCGTCTTTTACTCGCATTGCGACAGCCTTTCGA